AAAAAAAAAATTACATTTTGCATTTTATTTTATTTTTTAATGGGTGATTTTTATAATTGAAATTGAGACACGTATTCTGTAATGGGTCACATTGACCCGTTTATGTTCCCCCCCCACTTCTGCTGTGTGTCCACTCAGTGTGGGGGGAGTTTGCCCACAGGAACAGAAAAGGTTCCTGTCAGAACTTGTATGAACTCCTGCTTTCTCACAGTTTCCTATTGAAGAAAATAGAGTAGCAAGAAAGTGGGTTTGTGTTTGTGCACGTGTGCATGTGTGTAGTATGGTGTGTGTGTTGGTGTGTGTGGTGAAATATACTTCATAGCTGCAAGAAAACAGAATTGGAAATTTTTGTACCTTTTTTACCCTTCAACTTGTCTGCTGGTGTTCTGTTTATCTGTGCTACCCATAAATCCGTCCTACCTTGTGGTAATGCGCATATCGATACCTCGTCACAAACTGCTTACTCAGCAGATTTCCTATAAATACGTCCTACCTGTTACGGTAAGTTTTATTTATTTTATACCCGGCTTTCATTAGGCTGCTGTATTACTTCATGTTTTTAGCTTACATAACAGGCAGCTTGTAAATATATTTATAAATGGCTTCAGTTTGCCGTCTGCAAACCAGGACAAAATACATTGTTTTGTGGGCAGCTATCCAAAAGTCATTTCCTTGTGTTTATATGGGTAACGAGACGAACCGACGAGTAACAGTCTGAGATTTGACTAATTAGAGACGTGATTATATATTCATCTGCTAATAAAAAAACCATCTGTTTTATGTGGCTTAAAGTTAGTTTGGTGTAAAGTGGAGCTAATATGCTAACAAAGTTTAAGTTAAGGACATGCATTAATATATATATAAAAAAAAAAGTAAAATAACCCTGATGCCAAAATATGAAAAACAAAAAGTCTAATGTAACTAAATGTCCTTTGTAAAAGAAACTATGTACTTTGTAAAATGCAACTACATAGCATTTTTAGAAGTGATTTTTATAGACAAGAAATGTTACAAGAAGTTACACTCTGTTATGGACAAAAGGACTCTTTGTCTTTACCCTGTTTTATCTGCTCACAAGCACACGGCTGCAGGTTTAACATGTTTGAACATAAAGGGCTCGGCACCTTAATGGAGTTTGTCACAAAATAAACTATTCCTGTTTAGAACCAGTCCAGTTCATTCAGAGGTAAATAAAATATGATCTATCTCTGCAATAAACAATTTAGGGGATACGTTTTGCGTTTATCACATGGTAAAGCCAACAATATAACTTCACCTGCTAATGACACATACAGTTTGTAAAACAAGACGGGAAAATATGCCAACTTGTATATTTTTTCTCAAGAAGGGAAGCCGGCAGCTGGGAGAGGCAGATGTTTCTGTGAACGTGGCTTTTTAGGATCCCTTTACCGAACCAGGAAATAAACAATGCTATAAACTTAAAGTACTACAAATCTTTGCCAAAGACTATCGGATTCTGTAAGACACCTATTAAGATCTCTATCAAAGTAGATTTCAAGATGCCAAAAAACAGATCTCAAAGCAAATATTAATCCCATATCAATGTACATACAGATATAAATTTATTTGAATAATTTTATCATGAAGTATTTCTATTCTAACTTATAAATAAAATCTTGTGGATCCTCTATCCAGTATGAATAACTGTTCAAGTCAGCGCAGGCAGTGGACACTCACTGGGCAACTGCTAACAAACATCTCATTTGTATGCAGGTGGGGAAATACTTTTGCACAAATCACTGCAAAACAAACAAATTAAGTGGATTCCCGTTGAGCACTGATGAAATATTAGTGTACAGAAAACAAATACAAACACATTGTATATTGTTTATGCAGTAGCATATGGGGTAACAAATGGGGGTTATTCTGAGACTTGCGTGTGTGACATAGGTATATTGTCTAGAATGGCAACAAAAATAACATGGACACAATGATTATTTTGAATAAAGATCAGATATGGTGGAAATGTGTAATAAATCAGAAGAGATTCCAGGAGGATTTGTGAAGCTCAGATTTGGTTCTGCCTCATCACTCCTACTTGTTCTATCCTGTTTACAGGAAAATCAGCATCTGTAACACTGACACCAGTCCTGGTGCGTGTAACAATAACATCGATTTTGTGCATTGTTTTTTAACCATGATCTGTCTGTGGTTTTAGCTGCTGCAGCAGTGGAAGTGAAGAAAACCGTGCAGTCTGTGTTGGCCTCACTTCCAAATATTTAATTGACATTAACAGCCGCATCGTTTGGCTCAGGACTTTTCTCCTCGCAGATGAGGGAGGGTGTTTACAGTAAAACTATAGTCGTCTGGCCCCAGGTGAGGGCCAGTGTTGACTGCCAGTTGTAGCAGAAGCGAGGCCAAGTTTTTACTCAATCCAGGCTGGGAAGGTGCAGATGGCTCTGAGTCACCAGGAACTGAGAAATAAATAATAAAATTCACATGTCAAAGAAAAGGAAAAAATATCAAATACAAAACAGTTCACATCTAAATCAATGTGAAAAAAGTAAACAAGGAAGGTGCTGTAAGCTTTTGTTACCACCAGGGGGCACTAACCACCTGCACTTTGGCACTTTTTAGTTCAGAAGCACGAAACAAAAGCTTGTACATTTCTTCATCCTCCTGGCACATTTTGCTTCAGTGTCGTCTTTCACAACAGATAAATTAATGAAAGAGCCAGCAAAAGCTTACAGCACCTGGTATTCCCAGGCGGTCTCCCATCCAAGTACTGACCAGGCCCGACCCTGCTTAGCTTCCGAGATCAGACGAGATCGGGCGTGTTCAGGGTGGTATGGCCGTAAGCGAAGGACCAGCAGCCACACAGACCTTTTATCTGGCACCAAGAAGCACATAATCTTGGGGTCAAAGCTAAATGGTACATGTGACAGTTTAAATTAGTAAAATGAAACAGTTTGGGCTAAGCTGCTCCATCTTAAACTACACACGGAACTAAACACTAGACTGGGTGCAGAAATTCTACACAACATGTGAATATTTTTGGAAATTACTTCTGATATATCTTTTTATATTTTTAGACAAACCCTCGCAAAACTTTGAGGCAGGTTCTAGAACCTACGAATGGAGCAGACGGTATTAACAAGTGTCAGTATATTGGTGGCGCTTTCTGCGAATGGAGTTCTGGCTGTCCTTGTTTGCTGACATCAGAGACAATGGATTCTTTGATGGTGGATTTTTGGACAAAAACATTCAGCAGTTTTGCTGTATGGGACTCATACAGGTGAGTTAGTTGAATCAAATTTAATATGATGAATAAGATATGACGTGAGGAAGGAAGTCTGAAAGGCAAGAACATTAAAATCAGCATTAATGGTATGTGGTCGAGGTGCCACTGGTTATTTGTTTCATTCACTGTCTAGTTCTGTTCGTACAACACTTGAATGTCAGGCGCACACTTAATTTTGTGACGTAGGTGCATCACATCAACTTTCTACTGAAAATGGAAATAATGCATAACAAGCGCACACCCATAAATGGATGTGATCTTTTTCTACAAAGAGGAGTAGACGTCTCTGTGTTTTTTTTTGTGGGAAATTATGATATAATGAAAGACAGCGGTTCTCTAGCTGTTCTTTCGTGGTCGCTGTTCACACTTCTGTGGTGCTGAAAATGCACCGGTTACTTTTTCTACCTTAATGTCATAACACGAAAGAGCAGGTAGAACGGTGAGATTTCACATTTTGACAGCTGCATTTAAACCTCTATTAAAATTAAGTTACAATTTAATTGGCTATTATTTTTTAAACCAAAATCAAAAGTGAACTATTTTTAACTCGGTAGTTAGCGTCTGAATGGGCATCAAGTTTCTATAACTGCATGAATGACGGTTCTAAACGGCAAGTCTGAAATTACATAAATTTTGCAGACAGGGTAGTGTGTCTCATTGAGAGATTGTGATTCTACACCATCAAA